AAGATCTATTACTTATACAAAATACGAATTTAGGCCCAATAAAACCGGAAAAACTCAAATTTAAGCATGAAAACGAAAAGAGGTGAAGTTGGGCGAGATGTTACTCGCCTCTGATGAGAACCAAGCCCTAGATCTGTAGGAGAATGATTCCTCTCGCTGAATCCACCAAGAATCTCGCGAAATTCCACCGAAAATCCTTCGAAACGCCCAAAAATGCCACAAACCGAGCTAGGGTTTTGAGAGGAGAGAGAGAAGGGGGCTGAGGCTATTAGGGTTCAATAGAGGGTTCTGAGAGCTTCAAAACGAGTATATATACTTAGGGTAGCAATCGGGTTTGGTATAAACAAAACACGACCCGAAACAAAACCTGCAGAACCAGGTTCGCTTCGCGGTCGACCGCAGCGACCACGGCGGTCGACTGCGCAGGTTCCTGGGTCATTCTCAGACTGGGGTTCGGTAAAGAGGCTATAACTTTCTCATCTAATCTCAGAATGAGGTGATCTAAGATTTGTTGGAAAGCTCTTGAAGAGACCTAAAACTTTGATCTTATACACTTTTCCAGATTCTAAACAAATCAGTGTGCAAAACATAAACACTCTCAACTGGTCAAAATTCTCAGATTCTCACAATTTGCCTTTGTGCATGTTTTGTGTATTTACACTCGTATATTCACAAATATACATTGAATTGATCTCAAAATGAGCTGTAAACATGAAATAAAAACTATTGTAACAAAGTTTGATGAAAAATCATTTATATGATAGAAACCGTTGAAATTGTGTTAAGTGTACATATATTGAGCTTACATATAAACATACGATATATGTAAGCAAACTAAACTTATACCTAGGTGAAAGCACACACACATGAACTTGAATCTTTAACGCTTGATTGTCGTGTGTTGAATTACTTGTAAAGAGAGAAACAAAACAACAAAAACTAGAGATTGATTAGCGATAAATTATTCGACAAATCATCATCAAAACTATAGGGCCAACAGGTTTTACTAAATTTTAAACCCTTGATGTTGTTTTTGTATTTCTAAAACATTAAGTCTGTTTTTACAAATTCTAAATTTACGAGGGGATGCTAGAAATTTTTAGATTTCATCTATCGTTTCTAAGTTTAGAAAATTCTGAGAGTTTTATATAAATTTGAACTCTTGAGGGAGTTTTTTATAATTTTCTAAACTTTAAGGGTGTTTTTTTGTAAATTATAAATTCACAGGGGGCTGCTAGTAATTTTTAGATTTCATGTGTCACTTGTAGGTTTCAAAATTTTAGGGTGATTTTTGTAATTCTAAATCCTTTGTGGGTGTTTTTTGTAATTTTTAAAACTTTGAGGGTGTTATTTGCAAATTTGATATTTATAGGAGATTACTAAAATTTTTTAGATTTCATGTGTCATTTGCAAGTTTAGAAAATTCTAAGATTGACTTATAGTTTTGAATTCTTGAGGGTGTTTTTTTTTACAATTTTTAAACTTTGAGATTTTTTTATAAATTATAAATTTTTAGGGGGCTGCTGATAATTGTTAGATTTCATGTGCCATTTGTAGGTTTTAAATTTTAGGGTGATTTTTGTAATTCTTAACCATTGAGGGTATTTTTGTAAATTTTAAAACTTTAAGGATGTCTTTTACAAATTCTAAATTTATAGGGGACTACTGAAAATGTTCATATTTCATGTGTTATTCGCAAGTTTAGAAAATTCTAAGATTGTTTTGTAATTTTGAACTCTTGAGAGTGTTTTTTATAAATTTCTAAACTTTTAAGTGCATTTTTTGCATATTATAAAATTTTAGGAGGCTGCTAGTAATTTTTAAATTTTATGTGTCATTTGTAGGTTTCGAAATTTCAGGGTGGTTCTTATAATTCTAAACCATTAATGGTGTTTTTCTTAAATTTTAGAATTTTGAGGGTATTGTTTGTAAATTTTAAATTTATACTGAACGATTAAAATTTTTTAGATTTAATATGTCATTTACAAGTTTGAAAAATAGATCTCTAAAACTTTTTTATATATAAAAATCTAATAGACAAATGAGTTTTTGAACACTCACGAACCACTCAATTTAATAAATCATACTCCCTTTAAAAGCACGAGTTCGGAAAATCTTTTTAGACAAATATACCCCTTTATAGTTTGAACTACCTTATCTATAATCAAATTCTAATTTTTAATGGTCAATATTACCCTTCACTATTTTGAATATTTTATTTATATCTTAATCTATCCTAATCATAATCATATCTTATCCTAATCCTATATGAACCATGTTTAGCTTAACAATTTAAAAAAACTAATATTAATAAAATATATAAAACATAAAAATGATATTAGTTTGTTAAGATAAAGAAAATACAAGTAGATAACATATTATAATACATGAAGTATTGCAAAAAAATCATAAAAAGTTTTAAAATTGCATAAAAGACCCTGAAAAGTTCAAAACTATAAAACTCATCCAAATGTCTCAAAACATAAAATAAAAAATATGAAATTAAAAAATTAACATCAGTTTGCAAAGAATTTAAAATTTACAGTTAACACCTCAATGTCTCAAAAATTATAGAAACACCCTCAAAAGCTTAAATTACAGACAAGCACATTAAAATTCTAAAATTTTAAAACTTACAAACAACACAGATGAATTCAAGAGATTATCATGATACACCTAAAAATTTGACATTTAAATTTAAAAATTTTAATTAACACCCTCAATATCTCAAAAATTATAAAAACACCTTCAAAAGTTCAAATTATAAAAAACCACCCTAAAATTCTAAAATTTGTAAACAAAATACAATGAATTCAAGATATTACCCTTAGACACCTAAAAAATTAAAATTTGCCAAAATTAACCTCAATTTTTTTTAAAAACTCCTTCAAAATTTAAAAATCGTAAAAAAAACTCTAAATTTTTAAAAAATTTAACTAGCACACATCAAATTTGTCGATTGGTAGACCGCTGAAATTTAATATTTTTCAAAATTAATCTATAGTTTTAATAATTGCAAAAGACACCCTCAAAATTTTAGAGTTACAAGAAATATACTAACATTTAAAAATTACCACCAACAACATGAAACATAGAATTTACAACTACCAAACTTAAAAGTAAATTTTTTTAAAAACTCTTTCAAAATTTTAAAAATTATAAATCACACCCTCAAAGTTCAAAACCACAAAAATGGGCTAAAATTTTAAAACTTGGCAAAGAAAAGTGTAATTGTTTGGTATTTTTCATATATATATATATGTAGCCAAAATACATTCGTAACATTAATTGATAGATGTTTAAATCCATAGAAATGATAAAACACTATAATATTATACCTTAGCATTAATTGATTTTAATTTAGAAACTTTAATCTTTGACGTTAATAATATTTATAGGGTAAAAGAATACAAGGAATTACATATGGAGAAACTATTAGAATATTTAGAGATAACTTTAAAAGAATTGAGTTATTTCCATTGCAAATGGGAAAGTGATGGAAATAAATCTAAAATTCAGAAAACGTCAATGAATCACTTGAATTGGCATTAACATAAGACATATCTATTAATGAAGCACTGAATGAGTTACATTAAAAAATAATTTAATAACTTTATCCTAATCAAAGAAAAAATCTCCATGGAAGACATAAGAAAAATTAGTAAGTATTCATAAATTCCATACTGTGTTCTTCAAATTAAATATTAATATTATAATCTAAGAGAAATTGGTAATGAATAATGCAGGTATTTAGTTTAGATCTTTATGGAAAATGACAGGGATAGAGCAAAGGTAATATTATTGAAATAACAGAAATTCTTATTGGATGCACATCAGAAGAATTCATTTTAGAGGAAAATAAAGAGATAGCTTCTAATTTATTTAAGTAATAAATTAGGAACACAAAGAATTTTATATATATGAAATTAATATTTATTCTCATTGAAATAGAAAAAAAATCAAAGTCTATATTTTGAGCAGTTTGTGTTGAACATCATAAGTACATTTGACTTCTTTGTAAAGTTAAATGAGATGATAAAAAATTAACGAGCCTAGGAAAGATAATAGCATAAAAAATACAAAATTAGCCTGATGTCACAATTGATGTAGATGATGAAGACAATACTCTAGAATTGTCCGAGAAATGATAAATGATAAACCTGAAGAAGGATTGATCTTAACTCAATAAAAAATAAAATAGAAGAAATGAAAATAATATTTTATGAATATTTTATAGAATAGTTTAATTATTTTGAGTGAAATTAGGAATCTTTAGAAGGGAGTTTCATGAATTTTTTTCAGTACTTTTATATTCTTATGTGGATGTTTTTATCATATAAAAGTATACTAGAGTTAGCATTAATCTTTAATTTATATTTTTTTATGAAGTCTATCAATGATTAGGAATAAACTTCATATTCTCTTTTGCATCGTTTTAACATACTTTAAATCAATCATTTTGTCATATTGGTTTTAAATATTCACCTTCCTTGTATAACACTATTTTAATATTTTTCACTTTGCAATGCTATACTTTCTCAAATAAAGCTTAGTTTCATATCGGTCAAAAATAATATGAAAATTCAAATTATTTTTAAATTATATTTGTTTTTTGTCAATTCAAATATCAACATGAAAATTTAAATTGGGTGTATCCCATTTAAACAAACATAAAAAAATAATCGGGATGTAAGAGTTTAAAGAAAAAAATGAGCACAAACTGCCAAAAATACTTAATCATGATATTAAATTACGTGCATTGCACGTGTGTAAAAACTAGCATATATATATATATATTACAGAACGACGATCTTTAGCAACGCTCTGACAGAAAGAGATTACAAATCGACGATCTCTTCAAACCAATTAACACCGAGCGACGTCAATATTATATATTTTCATCATTTTCAAAAATATAAATAGATGAAATGCATAAGTAAAAAATAACCCAATTAACAAATATTAAATAGATTATAAATATAAATGGGCAACCTTTGCCCTACACTTCTACTTGCTCTTCCTCTCGAACGCTCCATCCTTCCATAGCTTCATTTCATTTCACCGCTTCGTCTTTCGCCCTCCATTTTCTACGCCGCCGCTCTCCGGAGATCAAGAAACCATTAAAACAACAACAACAACAACAACAGCAACAAGACTCACATTTGGTGATCGATAGAAAATGGCGCTGGCCTTCGACGAGTACGGTCGGCCCTTCATAATAGTGAAGGAGCAGGATCAGAAGACGAGGCTTCGGGGGCTCGACGCCCAGAAATCCAACATTGCCGCCGGCGTCGCCGTCTCCAGGATCCTCCGTACTTCTCTCGGCCCCAAGGGCATGGACAAGATGCTCCAGAGCCCCGACGGCGATGTCGTCATCAGTGAGTACTAACTGGAATGCACTAACACTAACCCCAACTCTCTTCGAGTTCTATTGATTTGGGGAGTGTTTGTTCTTTTGGTTCTGGCTTAGGAGATCTGTACTGAATTTCTGTTAGGGTTTTAGTTAGGGTGCTGTATTAGCTTCTGCTGGTTAGAAATGCTCAGAGAACTGTAATTGTATAAGTTTTTGTTTGTTTGCTTTTAGCTTACTGGTCTTATGAACCTCTGCTCATCATTTACTAGATGCAGGAATATGCATCTTTTCCCCATGAAAAAGTTGAATTTTGACAAAACATCGAGTGATATGGAAAATGGGATGGTTAAGAGATAAGAACTGTGTTTTTTTGTGAAGAAGTGTGGTTTGCATCTGGAGTGCCAATGTTGGGATTTGATTATTGATAGAAGGATAACTCTTGAGTGCAAAAGGGATCTGCTATTGGCTGTAGTGGAAAATAATGAAATTTGATGTTGAATTTTGTGGATTCAGTAGCATAACTTACTTGCTGGATTTGGGTGGTAGTCTGGATAAGTAAGTGGCTAGAAAAGTAGTGGACTTGGGGTTTTAGTTGTTGCGACCTTAGTTATTTCAGTTTGTCTGTTTCCTTTTTTGGCTATCAAATTGTCAACTAAAAGTAGTTTGCACTTCAACCTATGGTGTATCCATCATTCATTACTAACCATCTATTCCTATTTATGTCTGGTCGACAGATCGCTTAGCACATTCTAAATGAATATTCTACTTATCTATTCTGGAGTTTAGTTGATGCATTCTGAATGAGTTTCTGATCTTGAAAGAAATGATTGCTTTTCTTAACTACGTGACTAGATGTATAGATAATAAAAGAGTTAATCATTTGATGAGCTTTCTGAGTCAATGGAGAGAAGAGTGGTACAAGGGTTGGCTATCAGAACGAGAGAGTGACCACTGATGGAGGGTTAATCAACATTACGCTGGGATAAGTTGCGGGTGTCTGGAGTTTAGAATAATTTAAGGACATATTTGAAAGAGGATGGTGTAGCCTGCTAAATGGGAATTTTCCTTTTTCCTGAGTCCTGACCACATTTGGTTCAGTTTGATGGTTCTTAATATTGGATGATTAATTACTATACCCCTTAAGGACATTATATCTCTCTTGCTCTTGTGACTTGTGCACATTTCTACTCATTGTAGGCTGTGAACGATGAAACATGAGTAGTATTTGTCCCAGATGAATTTCAGTATTGTATCACATTAGATATAGTCATCATGCATCACTTTTCCCTTTTCTGTCCCTTGATGTAATTGTATGGTTAAAAGACCTTCATTGTTATTTGGATAATAAGTGTTCTGCTGGTTGATTACCAAATCCTGCGTTCTACTCACGTCTAAGTTTTCTACTGGCAGCAAACGATGGGGCAACAATTTTGGAACAGATGGATGTGGACAATCAGATTGCAAAGCTGATGGTGGAGCTATCTCGGAGTCAGGATTATGAAATCGGGGATGGCACAACTGGAGTTGTTGTTCTTGCTGGTTCGCTTTTGGAACAGGCGGAGAAGCTGTTGGAACGTGGCATCCATCCTATTAGGATTGCTGAAGGTTATGAGCTGGCATCTAGGATAGCTGTTGATCATCTTGAGCACATATCACAAAAATTTGAGTTCAATGTCAATAACATAGAGCCCTTGGTGCAGACTTGCATGACCACATTATCATCGAAGATGTAAGTACGTTTGTTACTTTTTCCTGTCAATACGGTTTATGACCCCATTGTAAATCAATCCATTGGAGATATTTTTGACGTTTCTTTTGCTTGTATAAGTTTTTCCTCCATAGGAGTGTAATTAGGAGAATTGTATACTCATATTGTATGTAGACAACCTGGCTGATTTTTTCCCCTTTGCTCATTGATATCACTTTTCTGGCTTTTCTTTCATGTCAGTGTTCCTTTACAAAGCATTCTATTATATCTTATGACTATTGTGCCGTTGGAATATCATTATGTATTGGTGTATATAAGTTGTCAAATTTCATCCTAAGTAAAAAAGATAAATTTTCTTATTTTTATGTATTAGCATATCACATGCATCTGGAGATTATTGTTCCATCTCTTCATCAAAATTGTAAATGTATGGCTCTTCTATGGTCTTCTTACATACCTCAAATCAGATCACCTAATAGATCAAAAGTAGCTTGATGCCTATAGCCCTGATATGATATTAAAAAAATAGAAGAGTAGGAGGAACATCTGTAAGGGTTTTTCCATTCAATCTCATTACATGATCTTTGTTGATTTATTTGTGAATAACCTGATTGTGGTTGTAGTGTCAACCGTTGCAAGCGCAGTCTAGCTGAGATTGCTGTTAAAGCAGTTCTAGCTGTTGCAGATTTGGAGAGGAAGGATGTCAATTTGGATTTGATTAAAGTAGAAGGGAAGGTAGGCGGAAAATTGGAAGATACAGAGCTCATCTACGGAATTATTGTTGACAAGGATATGAGCCATCCACAGATGCCAAAATGGATTGAAAATGTAAAAATTGCTATCTTGACTTGCCCATTCGAGCCACCTAAGCCCAAGACAAAGCACAAGGTTGATATTGACACTGTGGAGAAGTTCCAGACTTTGCGTCAACAGGAACAGAAATATTTTGATGACATGGTTCAGAAATGCAAGGTAAATTTTAGTTTGTTTCATGAAGTGCTGCTTCTCGTACTTTAAGCTGAGGTTGTGCTATTCCTAGAAGTCTTTTGCAATTATTTTAACTAAACAGAATATGCCGCTCCTGATCTCAGATAATTATATTTTATGATGTCTATATTGCACTCTAAATATATAGAATTAAACAAAAATACTACTTCTGGATGATGCTTTAGCTTAATGGAGAATAGCTATTTCCTAACTGAACTTTTCTGCCCTAGTTTCATGTATAAAGCTGAATGATTGGTGCAATTCTTTGTGAAAATTTTGAAGTGAGTTTTAATTCCATGTGCCAGAGAGATTAGTGCTGTCATCTTATTTGAATGCTAAATATAAGTACTCTAAACTGATATCAATCTTAAAACTTCCATTTTATTGTGATTTGTGCTTCTTAAGCTAAAATCTAAATTTATGAATTTTCAATGCCTTCCTCATTCTTTAAAATAGGGAATAGTGCTCTTTTTTCATCCCTTTAATAGGTAGTAAGTACAATTTTCTCTTTGTTTTAAGTTGTGCCTTAGAGTAGAATGTAATTCATGTCAAATCTTTAATCTTTACCCTTCATCTAGATTACTTTTTGATTCAAGACTTTTCAGGGTTCCTCCTTGGGTGCACTAGCTTAAACTGATGTTAACATACTAGTATTGGCATTGCACTAGAGGGTTTAGAGGGTTCCCTTTGCAGAGCCCTGAGTTCCATAACTGACCCTGATGATAGAAAGCTTACATGATAACCAGTGTTATCTTCTTCTTTTGCATTATGCATGGTCTCGGTATTGCATAGAGGAAAACTTGGTCATCTACCATTCTGTCAACAACTGAACTGTAATATTGAGAATATCTAAATGTTTTAGAAATTAGATAACTCATGCCTAAATTTAGTCTAGTGAATGTTTCTAGCTAAGAAGTGATAACTAACAGCTAACCACTTGACCTGTAAACAAAGTTAGCGTCTTTGATTTTAGTCAATTAGCTATGTAGAAACTAGGGCTCTTCGACGAGCGCTCTTGAGCGTGCCCATTAATAGATGAGAAATAGAGAGAGGTGTAGAAGAGGAAATAGAATAAGTGGTAACATATTGGGTACCCATTAGAAAATTTGATTATAGAGAAGAACCAAAACTTGGGATAAAGGCTCTGTTACCGTTGCTGCATACCTAAAATTTTTAACTAGCAATAAAGATAGAATAACAAACTGGTAACAAGCTAACAATACACAATGTTTTAAAAAGCCTCGGCGTAACCTGCCTAGGCATACGCCTAAGCCTAAGCAGTATCTTGGCCGCCTACGTAGCGCCTATCACTTAGGTAGCACCTAGGTTGCCCATCTAGATTTTGTGAGCACTTAGGAGCATTATTTGTCTATATGGATTGCACCCTTTAGGCACTGATCATGATTTCCTCCATTGCAGCATCCAAGTCCTCCAACCTCCTCCAACTATTAACACCTCCTCTACCTCTCCCGACCTTTAACAAAACCTTCACCCCCACCATTTAAGAAATCTGCCTAGGTGGTAGTCCAGTGCTTAAGCTTTCCATGACATTAGCATTGACTACCAAAAATTGTAAGTAAATACTACAAATAAGAAAATTCCTAGGCCTCGCCTAGGCTTCCGCCTAGATGCCTAGGCTCCCGCCTAGATGCCTAGGCTCCCGCCTAGATGCCTAGGCTCTAGGTGTTGGGTCCAACGCCTGACCCGCCTAGCGCTCTTGTGTAACCTTGACAATACATAGCAAGGCAAGTAATATATATATATATATATATATATAATATATATATATATATATATATATATATATATATATATATATATATATATATATATATATATGAGGAATATGGGTATACTTGGGCCAAGGATCCTTGGTAGTGATGTGGACACATCTTGTCCATACATCACACCTTGAAGTGCGTGAGGTTCCATCTTCAAGGTGTGATGTATGGACAAGATGTGTCCACTCACTACCAAGGATCCTTGGTACCAAGTATACCCATTTCTCTCTCTCTCTTCTCTCTCTCTCTATATATATATATATATATATATATATATATATATATATATATATATATATATATATATATATATAGATTAAATAAAAACGATAGCAAAGAACTAATCAAGTTGTAAAAACAAAAAGGTACAATTTTTTAGTCTATAATAATCATTTCACCACTGAAATTGTGGTCTATGTGACTGCATAATCCAAGCCTTACAAAAACCATGTTGCTATACGGATTATGTGGTTACATGGAATTGCACAATGCAATTTGTCTGCATTATGTACTTACATAACTGTTATATGATGCAGCCATAGGTTATGGGGTTGCATCACTTGTGTTTTACTTTTACTGATTCATCTGTGTTCTTGACCTAACTTTATTTTCTTCTGTATGATATATATGACTATGACTTTCGTTTTGATTTTGTATTTGATTCTCAGGATGTTGGTGCAACCCTAGTTATTTGTCAATGGGGTTTTGATGATGAAGCTAATCATTTATTAATGCATCGTAATTTACCTGCTGTTAGATGGGTTGGTGGTGTTGAATTGGAGTTGATTGCTATTGCGACAGGCTTGTCTCTATACCAAATTGTTTGTAGTAGATAACTCATTAGAGATACATTTTCATTTACAATTTTTATTATCTGCAGGTGGACGTATTGTTCCAAGATTTCAAGAACTAACACCGGAAAAACTTGGAAAGGTATGCTATACCTTTGTACACTTGTCCAGCCCGCTGTATGGAAACATTGTTTTATTGGACGTCTTTCGTGATGCATTATCTACCTTATACCTCCCAACATATAGCTTTCAGTCTATGAATATGTAATGACCTTTACCTTCTTGATGTGAAGATCATGTGATGCAAGATACCTAAGTACTTTTTGTGGATAAAGCTTCCATGAAGATATCAATTATACAAGCCAGTGGATGGGAAATTTGGTATATCTCACAAATTTATTATAACTTTCATACCTAGATAATGGTTTTTATTCAAGTAAGGATAATGAATGTCTAGACATAATTGAATTCATTCTGAAGTGAAGATGCAGATGCAGCTTGTTATTGCGGGATTAAGATCTGGCTCAATTCATGAATGAGAAAAAAACATAGACTGTACAATTTAAAACGCTATAGCTGGCTCACTTGGTGGTTGGGAGGGCTTATTGTTAGGAGTCATGCTCGCTTTTGATGAATTTTAAAATTCTTATTAAAGTTGTATGAGTAGAATGGTCATTAACTTGGTCAAACCTAGTTTATTTATATGAGCTTATAAGCTTGTTTTTGAAAAATTTGGGAACCCCAACTTTATCAAATGGTATTTATAAACCAGCTTATTGGTGATTTACTAAAAACTTAGATATGACAAAGCTAACTCAAAATCTAGTTTGACCAAACAATAAGCTTTCCAAAATACCCTCTAAGAGATAATAGTTGCATCAGTTCATATTGGAGCATCCACGCAGAATCCTTGCATGTACTGAAATTTAATAGCGCAGAAGTGGTTTTCTAGTTTATTTGTTCTCTAGTAGCTCATTGCTTAACTATATTTAGCTGTTCCTTTTTTTTAAACTACTCTTGCTTTTCCTGTTTTTTGAGTGTTTATCTGGCATTGCATCTTGGATTCCCTATATTTGGTTGATTTACCCAATACAGGTTAATTTTAAATAACTTTATGCTCCTTAACTCTTGAATGGACTGCTCTATGATCTGTGGCCCAGTTTTTAATAATTATGGACTGCTTGTTGTTTCCTTATGTACAAAGGCCTACAGTACTGTGTTTGATATGGCATTGCATGGTTCTCAGAACTAAGAAAGCTGTATCTATTCACTTCTTTAACTTGATTTTTTGGAATGAATTGAGTCCTCGATTTGATGGCTATTGCCTATTTCATGTTGGTCCAGCTGGGTATCACTAGATTCAGACCTGGGCTCTTTCATGTCTCAGAACATTAAAGAAGATATTAACATGGCCTGAAATGAAAGAGCTTAAAGGCCACACCTTAAAATTATCCAAATAACAATAAATAACTAATGCCAAATTAATAGATAATATTTCCAAATTAAGTAGTTCTAATGAACAATTGTCCAAAGTTTCAACAATTAGCTCATATGGTGGGATTTTGAGTGGGTTTTTTTAACATGTTGATCTGATAATAACCTCCAAAACTCTGTTTTGGTTGGTATTTGACCCATGTTAGTCGATTCATTCTAACTCTCTGGGTACTACACTGTGTAGGCTGTCTAAAAATCACAATAGATAGTTGATCCCCCATCAAACACCGATGATGGAAGTTACAATCTGACGACTTCCAGAAGGCTACAATTTGAGGACCTTCACGACAACTGATGAAAGCTCTAATTCAACAGCATTCACAATCAACATCGGGAGTTACAATCTGACGACTCTCATATTCTCAAGGAGCTAAGAGGACGATCTGTGCAAAGCTCTAGCAAAAGAGACTACAAATTGACGGTCTCTTCATATTAGAACGCAGATATCTCTCAAACCGTAAGGAATTTGGCGAAACGGAGGAAGCGAACCTAAGCCTTCGGCTAGGTTCGGATGGCCCCGTCTCGTCGAGATAGCCGATTTTCATATATAATTCGTCCAATTCCGACGTACGGTTTGAAAGTTATGACCTGTTCTTCGTAGCAAGTTATGTTCTGAAGTCCGTCTGCAAGACTGGACTTCGTCAGAACATTGGACTTAGCCTGAAGCTCGCCAAGCCCGCCGAAGGTTCGCCTCTGCATTACAGAGTCAAAGCGCACAAGTCGAACTCTGCGTTTTCAACATCAAAACGCAGAGTTAATCTCTAAAACAGCACGAACTGTGCGTTTTCAGCCTAAAACAGGCTCAACTCTGCGTTTTCAACATCAAAACGCAGAGTTAATCTCTAAAACAGCACGAACTGCGTTTCAGGTCCAGAAACGCACAGTTCGAGCCCAGAACGCTGTTTTCAGCGTTTAACTCGTTCAAGCACGATTTGAACGGTTCCAGAACCGTTTTCTCCCCAAGATTTTAGGGGATCACTACCCTATCATGGAGAGATTTATGAGGGGCAGTTACACCCCATTAAACCCTCATTAAGGAGAGATTTAAGGGGGCGGTTACACCCCTAAATCCCCTATAAATAGGGGGAAACTCAACTGAGTTCGGATCCTCTTTTTTTGGAGGGGGGGAGCTGACTTTTTGGGGATCCTTGATCGAGCATCTTGCCGCGTTCTGCAGCAACAAGGAGTTTTGGAGACCAGCAACAGGAGCTTCTTCCTTGGCTTATTAACCGAACTTTCGGTTCAAATCAACTCTTTTTCAAGAGTTCAAACTCGTTCAGAGTTATCAACTCGATCAGAGTTCAAAACTTGCTCTGCAAGTTCTTCTAAAATTCGTTCAGAGTTATCAACTCGTCAAGAGTTATCTTCAAACTTGCCACGCAAGTTCTCCACAGCGTCAAATCGTGAGGAGAAGACATCGTTCCAGTGAATCAAGACGTTCGGATCGTCAACGAGAAGCAAACTCGACGCGAGCATTCGAGGGAGGCATCTCATCGCCACCGTGAAGAACCCAGTTTTAAATAAAGGGGAGAATCAAATTCATTCTCCTCTCTTTTGTAATCGGAATCCAAATTGTAATTGATTTTGAGAGGAATACAAGTCAATTTTTCTTTCATTGTCTTTTTACTGCAAAATTTTCCAACGAACAAAAGATGGCGACTCCGCTGGGGACTAGCTTCTCTGACGAAGAAGTGGTGGCGCAATCCGACGTTCATCTCGCTGGAACGACCGTTGAAACTCTGCGCAAGATCCACAAAGTTTTCGAGGAGACTAAAGCTCCAGTTGTAGCTAACTTATCTAAAGACTATCTCCCATGGGGGTTGCACTGTTCATACAGTCCCCTCTCTAAAGGAGAAGACTCGATTTCGGCACAACGCAAAAAAAGCCGATCCTCCAATCAACGCGAACTCCGCGTTTGTGAGCCTCAACATGAGCTCTGCATAAGCCAAGCTAAACGAAACCCTCAGGTGTGCGTTTCCCAGATAGAACACAGCTTTCAGAGGCGCGTTCTAACATCAGAACGCAGACCTCAACACTGCGTTGATTTGGCCGAACGCAACTCTCAGGAGTGCGTTTCAGAACCCAAACACAACTCTCAGGAGTGCGTTCTATCATTTAAACGCAGACATCAAACCTGCGTTGATCTAGCTGAACGCAACTCTCAAGAGTGCGTCCCAGAACCAAAACACAACTCTCAGGAGTGCGTTTCACAAACTGAACGCAACTCTCAGGAGTGCGTTTCAGAATCCGAACGCAGATCGCAGGACTGCGTTTCACTAGCAAAACGCAGACTGTGGTCTTGCGTTAATCAAGCTAAACACGACCCTCGTGTTCCTTCTTTGGAACACGATGTGATTCGTCGTGTTCAAAATGATCAACATGGATTTAAATTCCATGTTTACCAAGAACCAGTCCCATCCTTTAACGGACAGAGGGTTCCATCTTTACCCTCACGCTCCGTGAGAGGTTCATCCCAAGTCTCTGACTTGCGGGAATTACTGTCGATGTTCAACCGACCGACGAATGTCGTTTTGCTCAATAATCGACGACATCCTCACAGGAAGAAGACTTTAGAGGATGAATACCTTGGAGTCACTTCTAACATGGTTGGTAGAGGGAGATCATCAACCCTTAGTTCTGACGAGTCAGAGACAGATCGTTCTCCAAGCGTCAGAGAAATCACTAACGAATTTGAAGGAGTCTACCAACACACTCGGACGCGAACAGGAGCCATTCCCCCTGTCAACTATCGGAGTTTAGCCAGAGGAACTAATTCCGATGACGAACATTCAGCCATTGCGGAGTCCCAATCATCAAGCTCTTTTATTGAATATAGGAGCTTCGCTTATATGACAGGAAACCATGAAGATCTCGCGAAGAGACTTGATGAACAGGAGGCCATGCTCAAATCCCAACAGGAGGCCATCAATGAACTCATGGCCATGTTGACTCAAATCGTCGCAGACAAAGCCAAATCTCAGGAGACAGATCCGCCGCTTAGGCAAGAATCTTCCCGGAGAGGAAAAACGTCTCCATCCCGACCTCACACAAGCAAAGGGAAGGGAAAAGTGGTTGATGATACAGCTTTTGATCAAGAAGCCCACAACCTGGAATCTTCCTCTGATGAAGGAAGAGAGACTGAGAATGAGCAGAATTTTTAGTCTGCCAAAATGAAAGAATTGGAAGTCCGCCTCAAAGCCATTGTTAATAAAAACGAGCTCCAAGATGAAGGAGTTATCAGACTCTATCCTGCCGAATGGGATGCAGCCCCTTATCCTCCAAAGTTCGAGGTCCCGACGCTACAAACTTTTTACGGCACGGGATCACCGAACCAACATATTTATCATTTCAAGTCACAGACTGGAAATGTAATATCAAACGATGCCATACTGGCTCGATGATTCATTGGCACCCTCAAGGGAATTGCCTTTGAATGGTTCAGGATCTAGAGAGACTCTTCCTATCAAGATTCTTTGAAGAGGATACAGAAGTCTCTATTCATACCCTTCTTGCCACTAAGCAGAAGAAGAGGGAGTCCATCAAAGCCTTCGTCAAAAGGTTCCGAACTATGGCTCTCCGGTGTTCGTCAGGTATGATACAGTCTACTTTAGTAGAGACCTGTCGACACAACTTGCAGACCGACCTCCT